ATCTCCAAAGACAGAGGCAAAACTCCATTGAACACATGGTAGCAAAAGACAGTAAAATACAATAAAATACACAAGGTTACATTTATGACATAAAATACAGACATGCAACATATGCCCAGATAGTTTAGGTCTGAGCGCACATTATTACTGAATGGCGCTCAGAGCACACACATACAGTTCAATTGCCATGGAGCCAAAGTCTTTCCCATAGTCTTTCATTATACGAATGGGCTCCATGGCATAGCTATCTGGGGTATCACTGCTCAAACAGGGCAAGCACCAAATGACCCGGCTTTCTTGTCTTTGCAGGGGAAAATCAAGCCTTTTAACATGGGGCCATAATCCGAAGGCAACAGGCGAGCAACCAGGCTTCTCCAATGCAATGTGGCAAGATTGCTCTCGTCACAAGGTATAACAGAAAGTCAGAGAGGAGGAGGGTCTGAGGGATAAGACAACTTGCAGGAACAAGCAGATGAAAAAATTATGGTCGCTCGCAGAGCAAAGGGAATAAGAAGGTGTGTATTTGTTAGTAAAGAAAAAATATCGAGAAGAGTGGAAATTTTGAGGGCTTTGTAGGTAGATGTTAGTAGTCTGAATTGGGTCTTGAAGGGTAGAAGAAGCCAATGTAATGATTGGCAAATAATAATAATTATAATTATTATCATTATTATTTAATGTCTTGCTGTGTAGCTCTGTCTGCTCACTGTACATCATGGCTAATTTTTATTTGGTGTGCATTGGAAGAGGGGTAGTCTTATACGGCGAGTATATCCCAAACTCTATATTTTAACTGGGGTAGTCTTATACGCCGGAAAATACAGTATTTTCTGCATCTAATATTCAAGGCTGTTTTCCTTTTATCATAATACAATATGATAGAGATACAAATTAACAGAGAAGGTTTCTCTTTTCTTTTCCATTTTCGAAGAATAACAGACAATTATTGACATGAAAAGATTTCTCAGATATAGTGCTCTATATAAAGATTCAAAGTCCATGTTGGAAACGTCCACTTTTTTATATTTGTGCTTTGCATATTTATTATTTTCTCATGAAGTGTATTTTTTGCTATAATTTGATCTTTATTAATACTTGATACTTACGGTATCTTACAGTATCTATACTTATTTTTTAATCTATTTGATTGTTGTTTTTTCATTGGGTTAATTTGCATACAGCAGTTTTTTTCAGGTGCTGCATTCTCCTCTTTTGCATTGTTCTTAAGGGGTTAACGCTCTGCGTCAATTAGCTGGCTGTTGTATTGAGGGCTTAAATATCACAACAGCATGTCAGCATATTGTCCTTTAGATTAAGTGCCATGTGGCACAAAACCCGTTAAGCAGCTGGTTTGCGGATATGAATCTTTTAAGTTTCTCTTTTTTGGTAAAAAATCCACAACATATTTCACCAACAGGATTTTGTTTTGTTTTCACTTGATAAAGCCCTTTGTGGTGAAACATGCTGTGGATTTTTTAAAGCATTCTAATGAAGGTGATTTTGTCTACTTTTATACTGTGATTGTGCCATTTTCCTTTCCTATTGCTTTTTTTTTTGCCTGGCATCCTGTTCATTACTCAACAAAATAATCCTAGGTGGGGATTATACTACTCACGCTTTATTCATTGAGCGGTGTGTCTGCTCAATTAAATGTGAGTGCATTTATTTTTATTTATACTCCTGGTTTAGTGTAGACAGTGAGCACTATTTTTTGGGCTCATAGTCCATATACCACTGTAAAAACTGTGCTGTTGACTACATTACTACACATATCCTACAAGTGAGGATGATAGCACTGTACACCTATCATACTAGAGCTGGTCTTAAGTCTATAAAATGTGAGTAGGACTATATAAGATTTGCACTTTAAAAGTACCACATAATATTGGAACATATTGCACTATTGGCTTTCTTCTTTGTTTTGTTTTTTATATCTATACAGTTTGCAAGAATCTTTGAACTCGATATCAATATAGAAAAGGCTAAAAAACTCCTCTATTGGATTTGGCTGCTACCTTTGCAAGTTTACACACTGACTTTTGACTTTTATATATGCTACTTGTTCTTTGTTTATTTGTTTTAGTGTTTTAATATTCTAAACACATCTGTTCATAATTGGTGCAACCTTTTTGTCTTTTGCTGCATCGTTCCACTAAATTGGCCTTGCAAGCATCATCACAATTTTCATGGGCTGACAAGGCGATTACATATCTTGGGGTACATCTTCCTAATTTACTCAGCTTTACGATTTAAATTTTCTGCCTAATATTCAGGAAATCCATAGGGATCTCACTAACTGTAATACACCCTACTTTGGCTGGCTATGTAGAATGAACATACTTAAAATTAATACCCTACCTAAAATCTTATATCTAATACAAAACCTCCCCATTATGTTACCTAATTCTTTTTTCCACAATTAAGTCACTTTTTACCAAGTTTATTTTGTCCCATAAATATCCCAGACTTACCTATCACATCCTGAGACTACATAAACTTAACGGTGGCCTAGGTTTATCCAATATGGAATTATACTGCAAAGCAATCGACTTCACTAGAATATTTGAAATGCCTTACCCCTATAACCAAAAATGTTTGGCCCTATTAGAAAGTGGCTTCTTTCAGGTCCCCCTATTTAGTACACCCTGGCAAAAGAAGGGGTTACTTGCTCTAGACCCTGACCACTCGTCACACTCCACCATCCTACCCACACTTTGAATTTGGTCAAAAGTAAGGCATTTTATACTTATCTTTCCTCATTCAGTGCCCCTCTACTGCAGAATATCTAATCTGGATTTCCCGCCAGGTCTTCAAAATAAATCTTTTAAAGCCTTTTCCTAAACCAAATATCTTACTCTGGGTTAAGTCCAAAGTGAACAGGGAATCAAACCACTATCCACTTAACTGCCCAACAGCCAACCTTCATCCCTCCAGTATGCTCAACTATCTCACTTTCTCAACACAGAGAAGCATGAGCTTACTAAATTTCAATCACACTGTTCAATCATCGTTCACATTAAAATCACAGACAGCTCAGGATCTTTTTGGTCCCAAGGTTATACTTGTAACGGGTGGCGGTCCAGAGACTGGGACCCCTGTATGCCTAATGATTGTAGAAGTCACAGCATGGAAATGAACAATCAGGGTCTGGTGCAGGGTAACCACACTTTCCCTGGTGTTGAGCGCCAAGGTTTGTGCGGCCACATACCAGGGCCCTGATGCAGCTTCTGCATATCCTAGGAACTTGATATTATGCAGATATGTACACATGTACAGACACATACATAGACAGACACACACACAGTCACATTCATACAGACACACATACACATACATACATACAGACAGACACATACAGACACACAGAGACAGAGACACACACACACACAGACACATACATACAGACACACATACACATACACACAGATACATACAGGCACACATACATACAGACACATACATACAGACAGACACACATATAGACACATACATAGACACACACAGACACATACACACATACATACAGACACACAGAAACATATACACATACATATATACACATACATAGACATACACAGAGACACATACATACAGAGACACACAGACACATGCATACAGACACACATACACATACATAGACACAGACAGACAGACACACATACATAGACACATATACATACAGACATTTAAATAGACACACACATACACACACATACACACATATACATACAGACACATACATAGACACACATACACTAACACACACACATGCAAAATATTTCCCTGGGGTCCAGTGGTGGCTCAGGTTGATGGGAGTCAGAGTGGGAACTCTGACTCCCTCTGCTTCCTCCTGTGCGGCTCCTGGTGGTTGCTGGGAGGAGTGACTGCGACAGTCACTTTCTCCCAGCGTCTGACATCAGAGGGGGCCCAGTCACGCTGTTACCGGGCCAACTCTGATGATGATATTCATTTCCATAGGGTGGCCCTAACAGCATGGGCCACCCGATGGGCCCGTTCACCTGCGGCAGGCACACGGTCGCAGGGGTCCGCCGGGCCTCGTGGAGTCATGGGCCCGGTCGAAGCTGCGACCCCTGTGATTGCGGTATGTACGCCGCTGGACAGGACTGTACATGAACTGGAAATACAAGACAAAATAAAATAAAACAAGAGATACAAGGTAAAACAAGAGGAGAAATAACTAAGTACTATATATGTAATAAACATTGAAGATTTAGACATACATAAATGGCCAAGATGTATGCAGCCCACCACTGCACCAAAGTACTCCAATTACGGTGGGTCCTAACTGCCTAGATATGCATGACTATAAGTTCAACAATAAAACACACACAGTACTTACCTGCAAAGAAAGGAGCAGAGGATTGAGACCACTGCTAGCAGGATCACACTGATCCTGGTGTGGTAACAAAAAACAAACATATAAAGGAATCCAAGAGACTGGGAATTCCAGGAACGGAATAAAGGAATGAACCCAGAAAACCCAGCATAAAGAAAACCAGACATAGAATAGATAACCAGAAAAACCAAGAAACACAAAACAAGAATTGTAAAAAGAGTACTGGATATCAGAAGCCAAGACCAGAAATCTCTGCAGAATGGAACAGGACATGACAATACTCAGGCATTTTGCCTAATGCCTAATAATTCAGTTATGTAATTTTATTTCCTATGCCATTTTGTTCCGAACATATAACTTTCCCAAACAGTACAAGTAATTGTCTGGGTCAGACTTCTTTATATGATATGTAATATCCGCATGCATGGCTTCTATAGAGGTGTTTACCTAGCACATATTGCTGTATTTGATTTAGCTAAAAAAAATAAAAAAAAGAACTCTGGTTATTACAAAATCTTTCTACCAGAAAAAAAGTTAGGTATTATACATCACTAGTAGTGTATTTTGGCATGACCTTTATATATTGTAAATACATGCTTTAACATCTTTCACTCTTAGAAAGTACTTTGCAGGCACAAAAATCAAGCATGACGCTCCAAACAGTAATTTATTATTTTAATCCACCAACTTTTTACAGACGATGCATTAACCAGGCACAAAATATGCTTGACGAGCAAAAAAAAAAACTGTGGCAGAATACTTTTGATTTGGAAAATTAGGGGACAAAGCAGTAAAGTGACAGGTGAGATTTAATGTAGTAATCTTAAACAAATGTATTTTGAGCTGAGAAATGTACGAACAAATTATACTGAATCAGGGAAAACAATATTGCGTGATAACAGATATAGACAACAGACTAAGTAAGAATGTGCAGTCAGGTAGCAGTTACTAAGGCCAGTAGAGTATTGTTACACATAAAACATGGTCTTGCCTCTTCATAAATTAAAGGGAATTAATAATAATCTATTCAAAATATCTCCACTATATGCTAAAAACAAACCAGAAAACCTTCTAGATGGTGTACCCCTAAACACCAATATACAAATAAAACATACGAAGTGTAGTGTTTCAACAGAGTGACACCTTATGAGGTGAAAGAATATAACATACAATGCAAGCTTCAATAATGAGGCAGTGTGACATGCTTTAGGTATATACTGCAGTGCTGCTTGGCTAAGTTTAGTGAGCTGTTACTTTCGCTTAGTAGATTAGAAGAATTATGTTAGCTGCAGCAGCTGCTGTGATTTCTTTGTGCTTAGCCTTATCCGCTTTGAACACTACTCAGGCAGCACGTTCAGCCTGCAGCTCAGCTCCCAGCCTATCATCAGCCTCCAAATCAGGTTGCCAGTGACTTGAAAGCTCCCTGTGGTAGAGGTCTGACTCTGGAGGAGGGGTTTGAGACAGAAGGTCAACGTCACATCCTTTTCCCACTTTGACTGTGCCATGCTCCAGAGGATCGGATAATGCTAATCACAAAGAAATCACAGCAGCTCCTGCAGCTAACATAATTCTTCTAATCTACTGAGAGG